ATTTTCATATTTGTTTTGGAGAATCGGTAAGATTTAAGAGAAAAAATGATGGGTCAAAATATTGTCTGCACCTTGTTATGGAAGCAACTAGATTATGAGCGGTTTAAGCGTTAATTTAAACTTTTTTTACAAAAAAAATTCGGGGGCAGCCACCACTAAATGTGCGGACATAAACAAATTTTCCTGGGTCCGCCACTGTGTGTGTGTATATATATATATATATATATATATATATATATATATATATATATATGAGGTAGGATCCTTTAACACCAGTGTCAAATTTTAAATTTGACACCTCATCTGAGAGCCGTTAGATCAAAAAAGATCAACGACTCTGATTTGTAAGCATGTGACGCCATTGATCTTTTTTGACCTAACGGCTATCAGATGAGGTGTCAAATAAATTTAAAATTTGACACTGGTGTCAAAGGATCCTACCTCTATATATATATATATATATATATATATATGGGTCAGGATCATTTTATACCAGTGTAAATTACACTCTCAATCTCGACTATTGATCCCACTTATATCTAAGGGCTCCAATTTTTTAGTAATGTGAGCCATTGGATACAAGTGGATCAATGATCAAGATTGAATATAAGACTTCTAATTCTTACAGTGGTGTAAAAATATCATGCCCCTATATATATATATATATATATATATATATATCGGAAAGGTTATACTTTTTTTTACTATTTATTACTGTCAAATCTTAACCATTAATATTCGTCAATCTAACGGTTATAATTTATTGGATCACATTTATTAATTAATTATTAATTTCTAATAAATTATAACCATTAGATTGACGGAAATCAACGGTTAAGATTTGGTACTAAGAAGGAGTAAGAAAAAGGGTAGTAAGTATAACCTCCTGGGGTAAGATATATTTACCACCATAAAAGTTTACCATTCTTACAACCAATCTAATCATCGTTGATTTCGTCAATCTAACAATTATAATTTATTGAAAATTAATAATTAATTAATAAGAGTGACCCAATAATTTCTAATAAATTATAACTGTTAGATTGACGGAAATCAACGGTGATTAGGTTGGTTGAAAGGGTGATAAACTTTTATGATGGTAAATATATTTTCATCGGAGTAGATATATAGACACACACACGATTTAGTGCGTGTCATTTTACCCCTTATAAAGGATATAAACCTATGACCTTTTACCCTTTATAAACTATATATCTACTCCGATGAGTATATAGTTATAATATGAAAGTTTTTTTTTCTCTCTATGTTCGCCGACAAGTTTTTGAAATACATAGTTATAAGGGAGTGAAAAGACATAAGCTTATATCCTTTAAACGGACAAATAGTTCCCCCCCTTCCACCACCACAACACACACATATAGGGTCAAGACCATTTTATCTCAGTGTACGATACTTTTTATATTTAACTATTATGTTTTATTAGATATTTGAATCGTTCGCTGCAAGTAAATCAATGATCCAAATTTGGTGTAAGACTTCTTATTCTTACACGAGTGTAAGAATATCCTACCATATATATATATATAGGAAAAATATTTCTACAGTTACTATAGATAAGTTGTCTGCATTTACTCCCAAAACGACGTCATTTTGGGATTGAAAAATTAAAAAATTATAATTATAAAGACTATAATAATCCTAAAATAAGTTAAAATTACAAAAACACCATTATTTCTGCCTCAAAACGACGTTATATTGGGCATACTGCAAATAACTTATCTGCAGTGACTACAGAAAAAGCAAACCATATATATATATATATATATATATATATATATATATATATATATATATATATATGAGTGAGGATATTCTAACTACCAAAAATTCTTACTACTAACTTACTACCCATCACATTACCATTGGATCAAAGAGAGAGAATGTTAAAAAAAAATTGAAGAGAGAGAAAATATTAATCTAATGGTGATTAGATAAGTAGTGAGTTGGTAGTGAAAAATTTTGGTAGTGAGAATATCCCTCCTCTATATATATATATATATATATATATATATATATATATATATATATATATATATATATATATATATATATATATATAAGGACTCTTTCTCTATAGCGGCTGCTAACTGCAGCTAACACAAAAAAGTGGGCTTCACTGCTTTTCTTAAAAAAAAAAAGCTTGGATACGAAGCTGTTTCTTGGCTTAGTGTATCTCTGCAGAAATGATTTTGCCTATATATATATATATATATATATATATATATATATATGGAGAGAGTTTTTTTGATTTCAGAGTAAGACTTAAAAGTCTTACTTTCCATTTTAGCCGTTGGAAAATCAACGGTTATACTTTGTAGTGTAATTAATTAGTATGACTTTTAAATTATAACTGTTAAATGGACGAAAATCAACAGTTAAGATGCAGAATAAGACATGTAGCGGGCAAAAATCAACAATTAAGATGCAGAATAAGACGTGTAGTCAAAATATGATATATATATATATATATATATATATATATATATATATATATATATATATAAATGATTTTTGCTTTATTGGCAGAGACATAACTCAACCCCCCCCCCCCCCCCTCTCTTTCCTTTTGCTTTCTCTATCTATTATTTTGTTTCAGTGGGAGAGAGAATTTTTATAGTAACTAAGAAGTAAAGGTGTTTCTATTTTTATCTTACTTTAAAATGCATTATAATCTTATCCACTAATTAAATAATTTATGGATAGATAAACATACTTTACCTTGATGCAATATCAAATGGTAGTAGGGGTGCCAAAAAAAAATCGAAAAATTGAATTGAAATGTAAATTGAGCTTAACTTTTAAAAAATTGATTTTTAAAAACCAATTCATGAACTACATTATTTTTCAAAAACCAGTTCTTGAACTAAATTATTTTTGAAAAATCGATTCATGAACTGAACTAGTTTATGAACCGAATTGGTTTTCAAAACTAGTTTAAGAATCAAATTGATTTTTTTTCCTTTTCTCTTTTTTTTTTTTTTAACTTTTTTCCTCCTAATTTATTGTCTTCCTTCTTTTATTTTTATTTTTATTACTCTATTTCTTTAATTTTTTATTTTTATTCTTCTTTTCTTTATTCTTATATTTTATTTCTCTCTTATTTTTATTTTATTTTATTTTTTAATAGTTTATTCTTATTTTTCAAATTTATGGTATTATTTATGTTTTAAATTTTTTTCTCAATACTTTTATACTTTTTATTTGGGTTCACCACTAGTTTAAAAACCAATTTTAGAGTGTGCAAAAGAATCACAAAAAATACTACACTTAATTTTTTTTAAAAATCATTTTATGAAATGAATTATTTTTCAAAAACTAGTCCATGAACTGAAAATCAGTTCATGAACCGAGCCATCTTTTTCTCTTCTTGTCAATTTTTTCCTTCTCCATTTCTTTTCTCTTATTTATTTATTTATTTTTTTCTTTATTTTTTTCCTTTTTTTCTCTTATATTTTTTTATTTTTTATTTTTTATTTTTATTTTTAAATATTTATTTCATTTTTTAATTTTCAATATCATTTGTATATATTTATTTATTTTTTCTTCAATATTTTTATAATTTTTATTTAAATTCAAAATTAATTTTAAAAATTAATTATTAACTAATTTAAAACCAATTCAAACTGGTTATGAATTGAACCTAGTTATGTATCAATTCAGAATTGAACTGAACTAATAAACCAATTTAATTCTTAGAATTGAATTGCTTTTTCTAATTGTGCTCGGTTGACAAGAAAACCAAACCTAACTGAACTACGCACATCCCTAAATGGTGTAAAGTTATCTAAAAGCTCTTAAGTTTAATCCTCCTTTTGGATGAGTTTTTTTCCCTAAGTAGTTGTTTTTTTAATACTTCTCAGTTTATTATATGTATATGTTTGGACGCAACCTTTAAAAAAAATAGTCAAAATACTGCTTTTTTTAATGTCAATATTCCGGCATTCAAGAAAAGTTAAAATATTTTTATTTATTTAAAAAATTCTTTTCATTTACCGTATTCGAATGAAAAATAAAATTTCCTTTTAAAAAAATAGGTAAAAAATCGTTTTTTTATTGCTCATCCAAACAGCATGTTGTCACCCATGATGTTGCTAGATAGGCTAAGAAATTCTTAGGCGATCGAGTAGGAATTATAAATTTCTCTTATTACTCCATTCCATTGAAAGTATACTACAACAATTATAGCATTGAAAATATGATCAAAATATCCTCTAACAAATCTTCAAAAGGGATAAGTTGTAAAAAAAAAAATTGTCAATATATATAACCAAATGAAAAAATATTAACAGTAGCAATGGCATTAAGGGAATAAATATCTTCATAATATTTTGTTTACGGGTCGGTTATATTTACAATATTTTATTCCATCTTTTTATAATCATTTTTATTATAGTTTGATTAAAAATATATCAACGCTCTCACTTGATATTATTTTGTAATCATTAATTTGATTTTGATCGATAATAGCAAAAATGATTGTAAGAGTTTGTAAGGGAAAAACAGTTATAACTATTTTTTTAATCCTTAAAATAAAAATTAATATTAAGAACTTGATTAAAAAATATTTAATATTCCTTTAAAAATAACATAATATTATTATCCCAATTTGTTACAAGGATCTAAAATATAATTTTGCCTACACTTTGAATCCACCTATAAGAAATAGATAGCTAGTAGTAAGATGCTAGCCCGACAAGACATCAAGGTCATCACCCGGTCAATAATCATCAATTTCATGTGTGCCTCACATGTTATGTCGCTTCCACACTACACCGATTCACTATTTGAAACATTTTTGTGCTCTAACTCTTAAGAGTGTGAAAGTGCAATAAAAGTTAATGTTACTAAATTAAACGTAAACGTAATTAGGGGGAGACTTTTGTAGACATTACTCAATATATAAGCCCAGTATTACCTTGCTAATGTTTCATATTTTTTGAACTGCAGATCATTTAATTCCCTCCAAGAGCAAACAAAAAATGGCCTTGGATGCTCAACAAACTAGAGGCTTCACTCATACTTGGCCAACTTCACTTGAGAAATCATGGGCTAAGTTAGTGAAGGTCACAAAGATGGTTAAGAAACTAGGACAAGATGACCCTAGACGAATTATTCATTCCCTTAAGGTTGGATTTGCACTAGCGTTGGTTTTACTTTTGCAACAATTTCATCCCTCCTTCTATGGTTTTGGTGCCAACATAATCTGGGCTGTTATCACCGTTGTTCTTGTCCTAGAATTTTCTGTGGGTGAGTAACTAACATATTTTAGGCAAAGGCCTCAACCCTAAAAGTCAACAAATGCTGTGGTATTTTTTTACGTATGAGCTATGCTTTGTAATATTTTCAGGTGCAACACTAGGAAAAGGTTTAAACAGGATGTTGGCAACGTTGTTAGCTGGTGCTTTGGGTGTTGCAATCCATAGAATTGCAACTCTTTCTGGGGAGAAGGGAAAGGTTGTACTGTCTTCAACCTTTGTCATTGTGATAGGTAAGTTATTTAATTAATGAATTTGATAATTATACTTATAAATCAAGCTTTAACACTTACAGTTTAATCATAATTAAGGAGAGGGGTTATTTTCTTTAATTTGCAGCTGCAACAGCGACATTTATGAGATTTTTCCCCCGATTGAAGGCGAGATACGATTATGGGTTGGTCATATTTATGTTGACCTTCTGCATGGTATCTCTTTCGGACAATACAGAGGATGAACTCTGGAAAATGGCCTATGAGAGGTTATTAACAATCATCATTGGGAGCTGTATAGCTATTATGGTCTGTATTTGCATATGCCCTGTTTGGGTTGGTGAGGATCTTCACAATCAGATTACTGGCAGTATTGAAAAGCTCGCCGACTTTTTGGAAGGTATAGTTTACTATCATATAAACATAGGGGAATATTACTCTCACGTGTGTCTCATGCACTCGCAAATCAAGGGTGGGATACACTCTCTATTTCTTCTCTTTTCTCTATTCTCTGTCCTCTCTCCTCTAAGTTATGTGTGCATGAGAGAAAATTCTCTCATGTCACGTAGGAGTAATATTCCTCATAAACATAACTAGAGAACCGTATTTAAAAATCGTTAAAACAAAAATGCTTTTAATTATGATCATTATTATTAGTGTCGAGTGTTTATCCTTTTAAACGACATAAGTTGTTTGTTTTTAATATTATGTCTTACTAGGGATTTGGATCCTCTCACGTGAAAAAGAGTAATCATATGAATTGATCACAACCATTCACTTGAAAATTATACATTTTTTTTCTCTCTTATCATTTTTCCACATGAGAGGATCGAAATCCTTCTTATTAGACATAGTTATAATATAGTTGCTCTTTTTCTCTCTCCACGTCAACTGAAATGATTGAAGAGAGAGAAAAAAGACAACTTTTTATATTATAATTATGTCTTACCAATAAGATATAGTGTTAAACACTCAAAAGACACATGTTGAGATATGTAGTTTCACATTGGATGTATGAGCAACTAATGTGGAGTTTATAAGGCCTTGGGCACTCCCACCCTTTGAGCTAGCTTTTGGGTGGTGTATCACAAGGTTCTTTACGTGGTATCAGAGCTTGAACCCTCACCACCTCCCACTTTAAAGTGAAATTAAAAAAAAAAAGCACAAAAGGTAAACCAAAAAAAATTGGGCATGTGCAATTCCACGCTTCTAGCCCAAAGGGCTCTTGCGTGAGGGGGTGTGTTTAGATATGTAGTCTCACATTGGTTGTATGAGCAACTAATGTGGAGTTTATAAGGCCTTGGGCACTCCCACCCTTTGAGCTAGCTTTTGGGTGGTGTATCCCAAAGTTCTTTACAACACAAGATTGTGTTCTTTAAAAGCACAAACTTTTTTCCCTTATTATTAATAGAGTGAAACTCATTTTGGGTGCGTGACAAAATATATGGTCCCCATTTTCGTCCCTTACAAATAAAAAGTCAACTTTTGGTCCCTCTACAATTTCAGTTCTTTGAAAATGTGATTCCGATCAGAAATTCAACGAAGGCCCAATTTAATCTCTAAAAAAAGGACTAATATGGGTTTTTTTTGTCAAGGACGAAAATGAGAACCGTAATTTTTGTTAGGGACCTAAAAGAGACTTTACTCTTATTAATATCTCATGAGATTTAAGTCTAATGGAAACTCTGGCCATTTTGATCCGCAGGATTTGGAGACGATTACTTCAAAAATTCAGAGAATACAGAAGCTGTGGATGATGAGCCGTTTCTCCACAGATATAAAAGTGTCCTCTCTTCAAAAAGCAGTGAACAAACAATGGTAAACACTAACAATGTTCTCTGGCATATATAACCCTCTTATCCAAAATTAAAAGTAAACCATATCCCAAATAATATGTTTAAGGAAAAAATATTTGTCCTTATACAAGTTGTATCATTTTACACTAAAGGAGATAGGACTCACACCTTTATTTTTTTGTCCACTTTTTTTTTCATTATCTATCTCTTTCTCTCACTTAAAATGAGACAACTTTACACCCTTTAAGATAACACATATTTTTTCTTATGTTTAATTTATTTTTGACTTTTATAGGCTGTTTTGGCAAGATGGGAACCTTGTCATGGCCGGTTCAGATTTCGCCACCCATGGAAACAATACTTAGAGATTGGGAAGCTATTACGATTGTGTGCTTACAAAATCGAAGCCCTTAGTGTCTACCTCCTCCACCCTAAAGAAGTATGGTATTATCATAGAAATATAATATAAAATTATTAATGTAGTCTTACGTAATAACTTAAGGTGTTGAAATGACTCTTTACGGTATTTCACATTTCAAGCATCAGAAAAAGCACCCTAATGAGTTGGTATCTTAACCTTTGTTTTTGTGGCTTGTCCTACAGACCCCGTATGAACTTCGAAGCAGGATTCAAGAGTCATGCACAAATATTAGCATGGAATGTGGGATGGCCCTTAGAGAATCATCATTGATAGTTAAACATATGGCTAAGTCATCAATGCCAAATCCTCATGTTGCAAACGCTAAAAGTGCTGCTGAATCTCTTAAATCAGTACTAAGAACAAACCCTTGGGAAGGAGCTGATCATTTGGTGATAATACCTGTTGCTACGGTGGCATCACTACTAATAGATGTTGTGTTTTGCGTTGAGAAAATTTGTCACGCAGTTGATGAACTTGCATCCCTTGCAAATTTTGTTGTACCTTCCGAGTTACTTCATCGGGGAACAGTGCAACCAAGTTCTGATCATGATGGTTCGGTTCATGTCATCACCGTTAATGAGTGATCGCCAAGATTAGAATAAAGGAACGGAATTAAACACAAAATGAAGAAAGACTCACTAATGTCACTGGAGAATAAAGTTGTGAGCACATATATAAAGCTGTTGTAACAAATGATGGATCTTTGTTAGTGATATATTTACACTTCAATTTTGTACCCAAAAAACAAAATGACACTTGAATTTTATATCAATTCCCAAATTTAAGTAAGTTTTGCTTGAGTACATGTTCAAAGACCATTCAAATTATTACAAAGGATTATTACAACAACAAAAAATATTAATAAGGGAAAAATTTGTAACACAAAACCAATGTGGTACTGAGTACTATCATTTCTCCTGATAAGACTAAAATGATTCTAAATAGATCAGATCTGGTCTTTAATAATTTTGGGATCTATTTTTATTTTTTGGAAAAAAAAATTAAAATTGGGTTTCAAATAAAAATTTAAAAAATTGCTTATATATTGAAAAAAAGAATTATGTTGTCCCAGCAAAAGCTGCAATACTATTATGGGTTCGTCGGTTCTCCTTTCACTGCTGATGAGAAAAGTGGCAGCAAATTTTTAACACTAAGATATGTGGTCGTATCCTGCCCTAAAAAAAAAAACATCAGGATCCGCACGCGTATCCTGAGTAAAATAAGTGTTGCTGCACTTTTTCCCATCTGCAGTGACATGAGAGCTACATATCCCTACTATTATACATAGAAATGGGTAATCTTTTCAATTTTAAAAAACAAAACGGGACTTTGACCAAAGTAACACGCTTTGAATAATATTTTACCGGTATGCCACGCTTCATTTTGAATTTTCCAAGATGCCACGTTGCAATCCCGCTACACCACCAAGCGAGATTGTATGATGACACGTGGCAGTCAACCATGGATCTCCATTCCCGCTGGTCTGGCAAGCTAGAATGTCTTGTTAATCAACCACTCTGCACACTCTGAAAATCAAGACACGTGTTACACTCCCACCATTCGCGCTGGTCAGTCCAGCTATATTGGTTGTACATTCTGAAAAGTAGGCCACGTGTCACCCTCCCACCATTCGCGCTGGACAGCCAAGCAAGATTGGGTGTACATTCAGACAAGTGTCAGCACCCAGTTATTCGCGCTGGTCTGCCTAGCTGGTTTGGTGCGTACTTTTCTGACACGTACCGAGTTTGGTTCTTCTATAAATAGTAACATAACATGAACATTCCAGCTACCAGAAGAAGTAAAAGTGGGTGAGCCAAAATTGCGAAGGTTAGATTCTGTAACCGTTTATTTTCTCTTGTAATTTTATGATATTAGTTAGAAAATGAGTGACAGTAACGATTCAGTAATTGCTCTGTTATATTACAATGGGAGAAGATATTTGGGTCCAAATGGCCAAGTTTTCGATGGAGAAACGAAAATATTTCGTATGAGCCCCCGTTGTAGTTTTAATGAACTAAAGAAGACAATATATCAAAAGCTGAGATTACAGCGAGGCCAAGTTTTATCTCGGTTGATTGCTAGATGTGCCTCGGGACCTGAAAGTTGGGTTCCTATAGAGATCGTTGAGGACGAAGATGTTGCTTTAGTGCTAAATGCATTTTGAAATCATTCACAATCCAAATTTATTGAACTATACGCGAAAGTAGACTCCGGTGGATAGTGTAGCAGTCAACATTTTCTCCCTTCCACTCACTCTATCGACATTAATATGGAGCCGGTTGTGAGTCCTCAATATTCTCTCCCTTCAATTAACGTTATTGACATTAACATAGAGCCAGTTGTTAGTCCTGAAGACAGAAATGTGTCACCCGAACCAATGTGTTCAGAATATGATGTTGCTCACGATATGTACGATCTGGCATGGCGTACTGACAGTTCCGACGAAGAGATGGACGAAGGGTTAGTCCCGGGCAGTGACTCCTCGGACACCGACGTGGATGGTGATTTTGATTCATGTTCGCCCACCGCTGCATGTTATGCGATTCCTTCTCCGGGCATTGTTGGAACGCACGAGCCAGGAGTGGCAAGTTAGTAAATATAAAAAAATGTGTGCTGATACATACTTGTATGTTGATTCGTATACATTAATGCACTGCTGATACAGGTGAAGGACATACACCATTTTGGTCTCAAATAAGTCATTATACGCGTATTAACTAGGCTCACCCAGATCAGGAGTTGCTAGCAATAGATGGAGCACAAGTACCCAACTGGAAGATGGGTCATGACCTGTATAAAGACCAGGTGTTTGACAACAAGCACGATGTTCAGATGGAGATCAAACAATTTTGTATGGGACAGCACCACACTACCATTGTATGTAAAAGTGATACGAAAAGATTAATCATGGTTTGCGAAAATCACATCAACGGTTGTCCGTGGAGGGTGAGGGCACACGTCAAAAAGGGAGGGACGGAATGGATTATCGGCAAGTGGGTTAACGAACATAACTATGTTAACCAGACTCTTTCTCAAGACCACAAGCAGCTGGATTCAAATTTCATATGTTCAATGATTCTAGGTATGTGTAACTGTCACAATCTGCGATATTATATAAGTAAGTTATCATAAACTAATTGTACATCCAAATTACGATACGGCAACCAAACAATCTCATGCCTGCGTATAACATCTAGGCAAAACCGAACTCTCTCCAAGTTGGCGGATCAATGTTGCCGCCTATCATATACATTAAACTTACGTAATTAAAAAAATTATCAGTAACCCCTTTATGGCAAACATATCACATAACTATAATCAATATGTCTCATACCTGTGACCGTATATGGCCTCTTGGTTAACCACGTCGGGAAGAGGATGGGCGACTCGGTGTAAGCGCGTCCACGCCCAAAGCTGTAGAAGCAATACACAACCACTCATATCTGAGTGAGCTATGTTTGTCGCTCTAGCCAGCTAAAAGTGCCTGTGGGCTGAAAATCATCAAGGAATAATAAAAATCGTACAAGCACATAACTTGAGGCGGTATCCACGAACAGCAACCCCCCAACACACGTATGATCAGGGCGCGTGTGTACATAATGCGCTGCTGCTCAGTGGCTTTATGCCTAGCATAGTTACCATATTCCTCATGCAAACAACAGAGACTTAACCCCCCACCACTTAAATCTCGCCCAGCTGCTGGCTCAAGCCCAAGATAACCAAGAATCAATTGTCACCAATTATGTTGTCCAGCCCGACCAAAAACAACTTGACCATCTGTGGGCAAGCCCAATAGATGATGAACATCCTCCAAAGTAATGGTCATCTCACTGTCAACCATATGAAACGTCTGCGTCTCAAGGCGCCAACGCTCCACGAGAGCAGAAATAAGCGCATGGTCAATCTAGAACAATAAATACATGTGATGTATTAAAAAAAGTACTATTACAAAAACTTGTGAACACAAATCAACAAAACAATATATACTCACATCATGGTTGCGCAGCCACGCAACGTGGAAGAAACCTGCCTGCCTCAAGTATGGATGAATCTCCTCGGGAATTTGCATAGGATCGTGTGTAGACGTCATTCTGACATTAAGCCGCCGATCTGTCGCACCATTCCACACGTATGTGGATATGTGCTTCTCCTGTAATGTCAGGAGAGACAGGTCAATAGGTCGGGGTGTAATCAACCTACGAGGAGATTCTGGGGATTCGAGAGGTGTGGGAGCATGGTCCTCATGGGGCGGTGAACCGTGCAGTGAATCAGGTGGGGATGCCATGAACCTATAATAAAAGAAATTACATTTGTATCCTATAATTTTGTATTAACAAATGCTACTGATAAAAAAAATATTAAATTTAAATACAAAACCTAATTACTAATTACGATAATTAACAATCCCTAAATAATATTAAACTAATTATTGTAATTAACATTAACAATGTCTCTTATCCTATAATTTGTTTATTAATAAATACTAATAATCACAACAATATTAAAAAAATACTACCCAAATTACTAATTAAAAAAATTTTAAACCGTAAAATTTAGTTATTCTACTAATTTATATAATAAAAAAATAATTAAATTTTTATCCAATACTTTTTTATTAACAAATGCTACTAATAAAAAAATATTAAATATAAATAGAAAACCTAATTACTAATTACGAAAATTAACAATCCCTAAATAATATTAAACTAAATATTGTAATTAACATTAACAATGTCTTTGATCCTATAATTTCTTTATTAATAAATCCTAATAATCACAACAATATAAAAAATAATTACTATCCTAATTACTAATTACAAAAAATAACTACCCTAAAATTTACTTATTCTACTAATTTATATAATAAAAAAATAATTACATGTTTATCCTATACTTTTTTATTAACAAATGCTAATACTAACAACAATATCAAAATTAAAAACTAAACTAATTACTAATTCCAATAATTAACTACAATATAAAATTAACTTATACTACTACTTCATCTAATCAAATTATTAATGTCATCTATCCAATGATTTTTAAACATTTAACACAAGTTGATAATAAAAAAAAATATAAACTAACCTTAAAAGCCACTGCACGTTGTGGTTCGTAGAGAGAGAGAGAGTGTTTTGAGAGAGAGAAATCTTGGAAAGATAGAAAAGCCGAAAGTGATGGGTCGATGCTGGGGTTCGGGAGTGGGAATATATAGAAGTGTCCGTGCAAGTATCCCGCTTTGCTGTCAAGTGCGAATAAAGAGAAGATGCCACGTGTCTCACATGCATAAGTAAATCGTACGATGTGTACCAATCTAGCTGCACTGATCAGCGCAAATGGGAGGAACATGACGTGGTTAACTTTTCAGAGTTTTACAGTTTCTGATTGACAAGCGATTCTAGCTTGTCAGACCAGCGAAAATGGGACTCCATGGTTGACTGCCATGTGTCATCTTACAATCTCGCTTGGTGGTGTAGCGAGATTCTGACATGGCATTTTGGAAAATTCAAAATGGAGCGTGGCATACCGGTAAAATATTATTCAACGCGTGTTACTTTGGTCAAAGTCGCTCAAAACAACTAGCTATTCCACTATTAGAAAAAGGGAAAACTATTTCTCCTGTCACCGGAGATAAAGTTATCTCCAGTGAACTCAAAATAACGTCGTTTTGAGTTATAAGATTAAAAAATTATAATAATAAAGACTAATATAACCCTGCAATATATTAAAATTACAAAAACACTTTGATTTCCGTCCAAAACGATATTATTTTGGGTTCATCAGAGATAATTTATCTCTGTTGACCGGAAAAATATTTGCCCTCACAAAAATCACCTTTTTGACGGAATTTAACCGTTGATATTGATCAATATGTCAGTCAAAAATTACAATTTTTGATGAGACTGTCTCATTCATAGTCGTGAAAATTCATATTTTTGACAGAAATAATAATTTATCGAAGTTTTCAATGGAATAGTATCCATCAAAGACAACTAATTAATCAAAAAAATATTTTTGTAGTTAATGCAGATAATTTATCTGCATTTATTTTCAAAATGACGTTATTTTGAGATTGAAAGATTAGAAAATTATAATTATAAAGACTATAATAACCCTGAAATAAATTAAAATTATAAAAATATCAGAATTTCTGCCACGTCGTATTAGGCTTACTGCAGATAGCTTATATGCAGTAACTGCATAAAAAGCGAACACTTAATTAATAATCATCAAGTACTAAATAAAATCCCTAAACACAATTAATGACACATATTTATGTTTTACAAAAACAATATAATATTTAGTTAAAATTTAATCACGACTATTAATTACTAATTCCAACAATTAATAAAAATTAATTATTATTAAAAATCTTAAATTACACAATAAAAATACTTAGTGCTTATATATAGTAGTATAATTATTTATAATATAATTTATGATTTTTAATAACGATTAATATTTATTAATTATTATAATTAGTGAATAATTGTGATTAAATTTTAATTAAATATTATAGGAAATGAATGAGTGGGTGAATGAGGGGAATAAGGTATAATCTACAGGGATATGACTGAAATTGCAACGCATGGAGCAATTTGTGAGTTCTTCAGATGTGGAATTAAAAAAGGAGATAAATTTTTTTAAAAAAAACTAATAAGTTCCCATAAATCCGCAAAATCAATGTTATAAAACTCGGCCCGGTCAATGACTCGGTCGGGGTAATGGGTTAATGGGTCACTGGTTGAACCAGTGGATCACTGCTTGAACCGATTGTATATATAAAATATATAAATATTAAAAAAGTTGATTTAATAATGTAATTAATTTACACCCAAATAATTGTTTTTCTTTGCTGAGCAACAAATAAAAACAATATTTGTGCTTGCATGAAGTTAAATACGGAAGTTGAAAAGTATAGGTGCGCACCTGTTGATACTTCGTAGATATTTAATCGTTAGCGGTTGAGTCGTTGATTTTTGCGTTCTATGTTGATTCGAGAGAAGTTGTGGATGAAACATGAGTACTGTAGAAGAAAACGAAAGCTTGAAGAAACGAAATGGATCAGGTTGTTGTTGCAGCAGTTGCGAATGTGTAAGTAATGCCAATATATTGAGGATCGTGTTGGTGTTCTAACAGTTCATGAAGATGAGAGATACAGGATCTACGGGGGGAGGGAGAGAGAAGCCGGGAAACACAGCTCTGTTAAATGTTGAGGAAGTATAATGTTTGAATCAGGGAAGCATTTTTTTCAAGCTTTTCTCGTTTGAATCCTAATTCCTACTTTAAACCTTTAAATTCAAGATTTAAAGGTTCCACGTCGGCCAAATAAGGGAGAAGTATAATGTTTATAAACTGTTGGACATGCCTTCAATGCGACATGATTCACGATATCCACATGGTCTTGGCCCAAGAAAACTGGTTTGTTCTCTGGGTCGAGTCACCAATTAATAGCTGGTTTTGATAAACTCGACCGAGTTAACCCGGTCCGTACCGCTTCAAAAGCATCACCGATCTGTATTAAAACTCGGACCGGTTCCATGTCCGTTTATCGGTTTTCCAGTTGAACCGGCCGGTCCGAGCCGATTTTAATAACATTGCGCAAAACTCATTAGAAAAATACCGTATATTAACCTTAATTATTTTTTTGAGTTGAATCGATTTCGATATCCCCTTCTTTCCTCTTTAAGTTAAGAAACTAATCCCAAGTCAGGTTCATAACTCCAAGCCACTCCTTCAACATCTTCTATTGTCTCGTTGTAACTAGTGAAATCATCATCTTTTTTAATGGTGACATCGTGATATAATTCACCCAATAAAAGATATCTTGCACGTTTACGAATCAATTTTCCAATACGACTTTGCTGCCTTTGTTATTGTGCACTTACGGGATGATCCAAGTTTGGCGGATCAACAATTTCTTGAAGAGCCCCTTTAGGTGGGTTCATTATAGTTAAACTCTTCGTCTTTCCCCAAAATAGTTACTACCATTTTAAGTTTATCATCTTTATAACATATTTGATTATAGTTGGATCAATACGAAATAAAAATAAAAAATATTAACTCCAATTAATTTCAAATTAATCTAATATGATGTCAGATCGTTGGTGTGAGTTTATCATTTAGGTCCATAATGTGTGGATAATAATTTATCCTTGTATAATGAAAAATCTATTGTGCTACGTTGCGCCAATAAAAATGCACCATATCAACGTGTATTGTAACAAAAAGAGAAAAATAAAAATAACTTTTATACTACAGAGTATGTGCAATTTTTCGAGGAGAATTCTACGTTGAATTGGTTGGTGGTGCGTTGTGTACTGGCAGGTACTCCTTTTGGCCTTGTTCTACGTCTTTTCTTCTTCTTTTTTTCTTTTTTATTCTTTTTGTTTCGATTGGAACATATTGGTAAGAAATTGGGGCAAGGGTTTGATACGGGCATTGGTTGGTATAATTAGGTAGCTGGAATTTGTTCTTGAGAACATAGACATGTGATTTAACTCTCTTAACTTTAAATGTTATTATTGTGCCACTCACCTAGTTCGTGAGGTTGATGGCAAGTTTTTTGCCTTGTCTACGACCAATAGGTACAGAGTAAAACGGGTCTTTACTCTGAGAAAATTAGAAAAGATTTTTAATATGTATATGATAAAGTTGCGTCGTGGATATTATCTTAAAGTTGACAGCATAGAGAACACAAGCCAAAACAAGAATGTAGAGAGGGTTGGTTATTAAAGGTACACTTCATAAGTTGAAACTAGGATGACAACATGGGAAGAGGTTAGTTAAGTTAATAAGTCAATTAGAATTGCATGTTATTCTTTCTTGTAAACTGAAACAATTTATAGGAGTAAAAGCATTTGCTGGATTAACTTTTATGGAGAATCCAAGTCCAAATTGTCTGTTCTTCTTATTATTGATTGTGATAATCTTTTAAATAATGTAAAGAAATACCAATGCCAGTAAGAGGTAGTGTAATTATGTTTGAGTTATGATCCTGTATGCAGTTCTTTTGTTTCAACAATATTGCAAATTTCTATTTCTTTTTCATCAAATTTTGTTACTTACTTTTTGCTCTATTTTTTCTTTGAAATGCAAATAGGATCAAAAGAACTGTTATTTTGAACTCAAATTAGTAGTAAAAATGGAAGAAGATGATGATTATGTGGAGTATGTTCCTGTGGCCAAGCGTCGGGCAATGGAAGCTCAGAAGATTCTCCAACGCAAAGGGAAGGCCTCTTGTGCCACTGATGATGATTTGGAGAAACTAAGAGTGGCTGAAACCAAGCCCAGTCTTCTGGTCAAGGCATCACAGTTGAAACGAGAACAACCGGAGATCAGTGTGACAGAGCAGATTGTTCAACAGGAGAAGGAAATGATTGAGAACTTGTCAGATAGGAAAACCCTTATGTCTGTTCGTGAATTAGCTAAGGGGATCACTTATACAGAACCTTTGCTTACAGGGTGGAAGCCGCCTTTGCATGTGAGAAGGATGTCTAAGAAGGAATGTGATTTGATTCGAAAGCAGTGGCATATATATACTAGTTGATGGTGAAGATATCCCACCCCCAATTAAGCTATGAAGTGATCGATTGGTATTTAACATTAGATGAGGCTGATCGATTGGTAGATTTGGGATTTGAAGATGACATAAGAGAAGTTTTTGATCACTTCAAAGCTCAAAGGCAGACTCTTTTATTTTCTGCCACTATGCCAACCAAAATTCAAAACTTTGCTAGAAGCGCTTTGGTGAAACCTATTATTGTCAATGTGGGACGGGCAGGGGCAGCAAATCTTGATGTAATCCAGGAGGTAGAGTATGTTAAGCAAGAGGCAAAAATAGTTTATCTCCTTGAATGCCTACAAAAAACCCCACCTCCCGTTCTAATATTCTGCGAGAACAAGGCTGACGTTGATGACATACATGAATATCTTCTCTTGAAAGGAGTGGAAGCCGTGGCTGTTCACGTAGGCAAGGATCAGGAAGAGAGAGAGTATGCCATTTCGGCTTTTAAGGATGGAAAGAAAGATGTGTTGGTTGCAACTGATGTTGCATCCAAAGGTTTGGATTTTCCTGATATTTAGTCATTAACTGTTGAGATATATAGTCCCACATTGGTTGTATGTGCAACTAATGTGGAGTTTATAAGGTCTTGGTCACTCTCACCCTTTGAACTAGCTTTTGGGGTGGTGTATCCCAAGGTTCTTTACATGGTATCAGAGCCTCGCCGCCGCCCACTTTCTCTCGTAGCCTTTCTTAGTACAGGTAGGCTGGTTCTTTACATGGTATCAGAGTTTCGCTGCTTGCCGCGCCTGTTGCATTGTCCACTCTCATGCCAGCTGAAATTGAAAATTATGTGCATAGGATTGGACGGACCGGAAGATGTGGCAAGACTGGTATAGCAGCAACATTTATAAACAAGAATCAAAGTGAGACAACATTGCTTGATTTGAAACACCTCTTGCAAGAAGCAAAATAAAGGATTCCCCCAGTTTTGGCCGAGCTGAATGATCCAATGGAAGATAATGAGGATATCACAGACATAAGTGGAGTCAAGGGATGTGCATATTGTGGTGGCCTTGGTCATCGCATCCGTGATTGTCCCAAATTAGAACATCAGAAGAGCATGGCAATCGCAAATAATAAAAAGGATTATTTTGGATCTGGAGGTTACAGAGGGGAAATTTGAAAGGTGCCGATCCCTTGTGTTCCAATTTTTTTTTAACACTACTGGGTTATGTATGTATTATATTTGCATTTTTTATATTTTGTACCTTAGAATATAATGAATTTCATTGCATTTGTACTGGTGCTTTTCATATGGTTGAATTGTAGTGTACAATATGTGTTGACTGAATTGTGGATTGATTTTCGCTTGTTTATGCTGTCTAGGATGCCTTCTGTTCTGGTGTTTTTTTTGCTAGAATGTTCATGTTACGATCTTGTTATGGGGACATTGTCACTTTGCAGTAATAGTAAATTCAATTTTTTTTTATTAAACAACCGTCTCTCTCACCCAAAACCTCAAACTGTTTAAGTGAAATCATTTTAATGGCACTTGAGTCGAGAAACTTCAGAGAGCTCAAATTGTTAGCTGATGTCACTTTAGAAGTTTTATATTAGATAAGAGCTGTTAATTAAAGCCATTTTAAAAGTTATATTAAACTTATCTAATAATATGGAATTATTTAATGGAATCAATGCGGGTGCAACACTAGCATTATAATTATATATTTTGAGAAGTATATAATTATAATATTAAAGTTAAATTTTTTTCTTCTCCAATATATATGTCAGCCGATATGTAATAATTATAAGAGTAAACACACTTTTTGGTCCCTGACAATATCTACGAAATCTTTTTTAGTTTCTGGCAATAAAAAGGACAAAATTGGTCTCTAACAGTATGTAAAAAGGGCCACGGAGGAGTTGACCTAAGGACTAACGTGGCCCTTTTTTCATAATTTTAGGGACCAGTTTGGTCATTCTTTATTACCAGGGACTAAAAAGAATTTCGCAGATATTGTCAGGAACCAAAAAGGGTGTTTACTTTAGTTATAATATTATCGTGCAACATTTAAAGGGTACAGATAGGATTCAAAGAATCTACACTGGGAGCATTTTAGCTATGATTATATGCATTTGCAATTGACCTGTAACGAATAGGAGAGGATCTTCATGTTTTGTTTCTGGCAAGTGGCAACATGGAAAAGCTAGGCGATAATCTTAGACCGTACACATTAATTATCCAAAATGCTTTCATATTCAATTAACCCCACAGGGAACCCATATCAGAAAACAAATTTAAGAATGACAAAAGAAACGGGCCCACAACAGGACCATTGGGCTTAAGAGTTGGGCCACTGGGTAAAAAGGAGCTATGATTGTGATGTGTGAAGTGAAGCAGAAGCCACCAACCACCAAGCTGGTCTCACTCGCTCTCATGGCCACAGAGACTGAAACATCATCTTCAACAGTGAACCATGTTGACGTTTTTTGGCATGAAGGGATGCTCAAACATGACACGGGAAATGGAGTGTTTGACACAGGAATGGACCCAGGCTTCTTGGACGTGTTGGAGAGACATCCTGAAAACTCAGATAGGGTTAGGAACATGGTCTCTATCCTCAAAAGAGGTCCTATCTCCTCTTACATTTCTTGGAACCTTGGTAGACCTGCTCTTATCCCTGAGCTTCTTTCTTTTCACACTCCTGGTACTATCTCTTTTGCCTCTTAATTTTAGCTTCTTTCTCATTTTCTGTTCCCATCATTTTGTATTAATATATTGGATATATTGCTACACTGTGCATAGATAGGGTGGTTTATGTTTTGGCTTAGATAAGGTAGGTATAAAATATTTCTGTTAGCATGTAAGTACAAATTATAAGTCTCGGCCTAGACCCTGTATCCTCTCTCTTAGATATTTAATAATTAAAAAAATTAAAATAATTGTAAAGAACCAATTCAACTCAAAAGCTTAAGTTATTGGATGAGACTATATTAATGGTTTTATATATCTCAACACGCCCCCTCATACGAAAGCCCGTTAGGCTTGAAGGGTGGACAATGCACAGGCCCACCTACCTGTGCGAAGAAAGAAATTCCACTTGAAATAAAGTGGGGCGGTGAGGATCGAACCCGGGACACGAGGCTTTGATACATGTAAAGAACCACTTCAACCCAAAAGCTTAAGCTATTGGATGAGGCTATATTAATGGTTTTATATATCTCAACAATAATATTATTTTATTATTCAAAATTATTAAAATAATAAGAGTAAATACCTTTTTTGGTCCTCAGCAAATTTCATGATGCCCATTTTAGTCCCTAGCAAATAAAAAGGCCTATTATGGTCCCTAAAAAATTCAAAATGGACCCATTTAGTTGAAATCGTGGTCCCTCACAAATTCAAAAAAGACCTATATTAGTCCCTAAAAGGACTAAAATGGGTCCATTTTGAATTTCTTAAGGACCACGATGGGCTTTTTTATTTGTTAGGGACTAAAACGGGCATCGTGAAATTTGCTGAGGACCAAAAATGGTATTTACTCAAATAATAATTTAGTTATTTTATTTAAAATAAATAATATAATATAGGTCGTCACCTTATAGACTTGACATGTAAAAGAAATTCTATGGCACGTTTTCTAAATAGATTTTTTTTTATATCTAAACATGTTCTATTTAACTATATATAATAGGCCGAGTCTGTCATGATGTAAGCCGAACTGTAGGCCCCTATTAAGTCTGTTGATCCATTTACACCTCTAATTGACATAACTGGTACAATCATAGAGGTTTTGTTTTGAGTATCCTCAATTTAGCAAAAAAAAAAAATGGGATTTTGGTAAAAATTTGTTCTTTGCATGCAAAATTGAAATTTTATTGATGTGGGTCCAGTCACATTAGCAAGCAGTTGCTAACATTGGAAGCAAAATTTTGGGGTTTGGGAGGATGGCAAATTTTTTATTTTTTAATTTTTAATTTTTAATTTTTGTGTTGGAGATAATTCCTGGGTTGAGATGAAACAGTGCATGATATAATTTTGAATGTTGTAATTTCCTAGAATATGTAAATGAACTTGTGGAAGCTGATAAAGAAGGTGGGAAGATGCTTTGTGCTGGAACATTCTTGAACCCTGGATCATGGGATGCTGCACTTCTTGCTGCTGGGACTACACTGTCTTCAATGCAGCATTTATTGGATGGGCATGGAAAAGTTGCTTATGCCTTGGTTAGGCCTCCTGGTCACCATGCTCAACCTTCTCAGGCTGATGGGTACTGTTTCCTTAACAATGCTGGTCTAGCAGTACAATTGGCTTTAGATTCTGGGTTTAAGAAGGTTGCAGTTATAGATATTGATGTTCATTATGGAAATGGCACAGCAGAGGGATTTTATCGATCTGATAAAGTTCTTACCATCTCTCTTCATATGAACCATGGATCATGGGGTCCATCTCATCCGCAGAGTGGATCTATTGATGAGCTTGGTGAAGGAGAAGGATATGGGTACAACTTAAACATACCTCTACCAAACGGAACTGGGGACAATGGATATATTTATGCCTTCAAAGAGTTGATCGTTCCATCAATCCAAAATTTTGAGCCTGATATAATAGTTTTCGTTATTGGACAAGACTCAAGTGCAGTAAGTTATTCTATTTATCATATTTTTCGGTTCCTGATTTATGATTTGGTCATAGTTAGCATTTTATTGGCAAGTTTGTTTAGACTTGATTTCATGCTATCAAAAGTCTCACCATGATGTGGATGTTCCCGGCTCGAACAGGATATTGTTATTAGAAGAAAGAATTAAAAAACTATATATTCATCACATCGATTACAAAAGGTATCTCTGATATATATACACAAGAGAATGAAAAGCAAAAAAGAATCTACTAACAAACTGTAACAAAATGAACCAAAGAAAAAGGCACCACTACTGCACGTGGTTTGTTACAACAGAAAAAGTAAGATAAGAATAAAACTATATCTAACTAATATTAATTCTCTAATCACAATCTTAACACTCCCCCTCAAGATGGAGAGTGTATATTCAACACTCCCATCTTGTCAAGCAATGTTTGAAATTATCCAGGAAATAATGGCTTGGTAAGCAAATCTGCCTGCTGTAGCTGAGAAGGAATATACATCACCTTTACCTCCTCTTTTGACACCTTTTCTCTAACCAAGTGACAATCTATCTCTATGTGTTAGTCCTCTCATGAAAAACTGAATTTTCTGCAATGTGTAGGGCTGCTTGATTATCACAAAAAATCAAGCAAGGTTCTTGATGCAGTATGCCAAAATCAAGCAAAAGAGATCGTAGCCAAATTAATTCACATGTCACATTAGTCATTGCTCTATACTCGGCTTCAGCTGATGATCTAGCCACTGTTGGTTGTTTCTTTGACTTCCAACTTATCAATGAGTCTCCTAGAAAAACACAAAAACCAGTAATTGATCTTCTAGTGTCTGTGCATGATCCCCAATCTGAGTCAGAAAAAGCTCTCAACTTCAATTGTCCAGAACTAGGGTAAAAAATGCCTTGTCCAACTGTCCCCTTGACATATTGCAGTAACCTATGAACAACATGAAGATGTGGTACCCTCGGATGAGCAAGAAACTGGCTAAGTTTATTTACAGCATATGACAAATCTGGTCTACTAATGGTTAAGTATAACAACCGTCCAATTAATCTCCTGTAAGAAACTAGATCATCTAACAAGTCACCCTCCTCTTGAGACAACTTGATATTCGGTTCCATTGGAGTGGCTTTGGACTTACAACCAGTAACTCCAGCATCTTTTAAAATCTGTAGTGCATATCCTCTTTGGCAAATGGAAATCCCTTTGCATGAACGTGCAACTTCCAATCCAAGGAAATACTTCAAATCACCAAGGTCCTTCAATTTAAATTGATTGTTCAATTAATCTTTCAGTTGCTGCACCTCTGTATCATTATCTCCAGCCACTATGATGTCATCTACATACACCAAAACAGCATGAAAACATCCGCTTTTGTTCTTAACAAAAAGAGAAGAATCTCCAATGGATTGTTTGAAACCATGAGTAATTAAAACCTGAGAAAATTTATGGAACCACTGCCTTGATGCCTGTTTAAGTCCATACAAGGACTTACGTAACTTACAAACCATATTTGATGAAACAGGCTCCCCCTCATGGAGATAACTGAGAGGTGGAACCATGTATACTTCTTCAGTTAACTCACCATGGAGAAAAGCGTTATTGATGTCTAAATGAGTAAGGGACCAGCCACGCAATGAGGCCAAAGCAAGCAATAAACGAACAGATGTTACCTTTGCTACTGAAGAGAATGTATCAAAAAAATCCACTCCCTCTTGTTGATTGAAACCTTGAGGCACTAAACGAGCTTTATAACGTTCCAGGGTACCATCTGCATGAAGCTTTACTTTGTAGACCCATTTGCAACTGATGGCCCTTTTGTTAGGTGGCAAGGGAACAAGAGACCAAGTTCCATTTGTCTCCAAAGCACTAATCTCCAATTTCATTGCTTGCTGTCATGAGGGAACTTTAACAGCTTCATAGAAAGAGGAAGGCTCTGGATGTAAAGTGACCGAGCCAATGAAAGCTGCATAAGAAGCGGAGAGGCGAGAACTTGAGAGAATAGACTCAAGAGGATGCTGTGTAGAAGATGGAACAGAGTAGCAATGATAGTCTCTTAAATGAGAAGGAGGATGAACATCTCTAGTGGAGGTTCTGCGAGTAGCAAGTGGCTGTGAAGGCAATTCAGAAGTCACGTCCATGATAGGAAGGGTGGAAGGTACTTGCATAGGCAAAACAGAATCATCAAATACAGTAGGAGAAGAATCAGGTAGATGCTTGAAAGGGAACTCATGCTCATGAAAAACAACATCCCTTGATATGAAGACTTTGTTGGTTGCCACATTCAACCCCTTGTAGGCTTTGTATCCTTGCGGATATCCAAGAAACACACCAGGAAAAGCTCGTGGAGAAAATTTGTGACGATCACGAGGCAATGTAGATACATAACATAGACACCTAAATGTCCGAAGATGTAAATAAGAAGGAGGCTTCCCCATCAGCACTTCAAAAGGAGATTTGTCAGTCAACAATGTAGATGGCAAGCGGTTGATTAAATACACAACCGTTTGTACACAGTCTGCCCAGTAACCAAGAGGTACATTTGACTGGAATTGGAGAGACCTTGCCACATTAAGCAAGTGTTGATGATTACGTTCTACCACAGCATTTTGCTGGGGCCTATCAACACAGGAATGGTAAGACATAATACCTTTTGTTTTGGAAAAATCAGAGAAATTAAATTCCGGAGCATTATCAAACCATACAGCCTTAATATTCACATGGAACTGAGTGTTAATCATAGTATGAAACTCAGGAAAAAATTGTAAAACATCAGATTTGGAGCGTAAGAAATAAAGCCAAGTATACCTACTACAATCATAACAATGGTTAAGAAATAACGAAAACCATCAACAGAGACAGGTGAAAAGGGACCCCATATATCCAAATGAACCAAATCAAAAGGTGAAGAACTCATGTTATTATTTGAAACAAAAGGCAAACGCCTCTGTTTAGACAAAGGACACACATTACAAAAAGTGTTTGGAATTGAAGACAAATCCAATAAAACATGTAAACGGGAAAAAGAGGGATGACCCAAACGCATGTGCCAGAGAGAGGATAATTTTGTGGATGAGACCTGTGCTTCAGGACCATTGGAGACGGCATGCAGGACATACAAATTACCTTGTCTCTCAGCCGTCCCAATCGTGTGGCCCATGGTAAGATCCTGCAAAACACACGAAGAGGATGAAAAAGAGATATTGAGTTTGAAGACAGATGTTAAACAACTGACAGATAAAAGATTATATGTAAAATCTGGCACATACAACGCAGATGGTAAAATTAAATTGGGAGATGTGCGGACAGAACCCAATCGTGGCACTGAAATAGAGGTCCCGTTGGGTAGATTGACAAAGAAATCAACAATAGGAGAAGAGGAAAGAAATTGCTTGAGGTCGCAACATACATGATGTGTTGCACCTGTATCTAAGATCCAGGCTGAAGAAGAAAATGAAGGTGACTCACCGGACACGTGTGCAACAGAGGAGTCAGAAGCGAAATCTACTGGAGGTGACTCAACGAAGGTGGAAGAGGTGTGAGTTGTGTGAGATGGAGACATTGACACGATGTTATGGGCTGGTGAAGTAGTGCCTGAAGAGTGGAGCAATGCTAGGAGTTGAGAGACTTGATTTGGGGTGAGATTTGGATTTGGGCCTATTGGACCAAAAGTAGAAAATGGCCCATCTGCTGAAACAGAAGCAGTGTAGTTGTGGCCCGAAATGGGACTAGTATTCCCTTGACCAGGATTGTTCTTCATCCTTCCCTTGAAACAGGTGGGTATCCATGAAGGCGGAAGCATTTTTCGATGGTGTGCTCTGTCATGGAACAATGAGTGCAAAATGGACGTCGAGGTTTTCCCGGCATCTGAGTGGCGTTGACAGTAGGCATAGATGAAGGGAACCCAACTGAATTGTGGCAATGAATGTTTCTCTGACGTTCTTCTTGCACAACAAGTGAGAAAACCCTACCAAGAGATGGTAATGGGTCCATAAGCAAGATCTGTGCTCGTGTAGAGGAGAAGGAGTCATTAAGACCCTTTAGAAATTGGAGGGAACGTTCTTGTTCTCTGTACAGAGTCCAAGCCTTCAATCCACCACAAGTGCAGGAAGGAAGAGGTTCAAATTCCTTTAACTCATCCCATAGTGTCTTTAATCGTGTATAATAGGTGTTCACATCAAGAGCTCCTTGAGTGAGTGTGGTGATTTGGGATTTCAATTGAAAAATCCTGGGACCATTCCCTTGCTGAAATCGTTCCTTGAGATCCACCCAGATCCCTGCTGTAGTGGGTATGTATAGGAGACTATCAGCAATCTCACGAGCAATGGAATTCAATAACCAAGAAGTGACCATGCTGTTGCATCGAATCCAAAAAGAAGAAAGTAAATCATCTGACTCTGGTTGAGGAAGAGATCCATCAACGAATTGGTATTTGTTCTTAGCAGTGAGAGCCATTGACATAGCCCTGTTCCATGTGTGGTAGTTCGTTCCAGTGAGAAGATGAGTGACAAGCACAAGACTTGGATGATCGGCATTGTGCTGAAAGTATGGACTGTTTGTGTCCTCAACCGGATTTGTGGTGGTGGGTTTCGGAGGTTGCTGGCCCTTGGCCATGGCAAAAAAAATCAGAGAAAAAATGGAAAGAACCTAGTAGCTCTTGATACCATATTAGAAGAAAGAATTAAAAAACTGTATATTCATCACATCGATTACAGAAGGTATCTCTGATATATATACACAAGAGAATGAAAGCAAAAAAGAATCTCCTAACAAACTGTAACAAAATGAACCAAAGAAAAAGGCACCACTACTGCACGTGGTTTGTTACAACAGAAAAAGTAAAAACTATATCTAACTAATATTAATTCTCTAATCACAATCTTAACAACTGTCTCCTGTGGAGGATATCTGTGGTTTATTTAAAAAAGAAATCAAAACATGATAAGATACTGGCATATGACTTTTAAGGGACGAACTTAGTTTCAACCATGATATGGGAACCTGAACAATTGCAAATTGAACCTAACCAAACAGTTGAAATGAATACAAACAAGGTTGAATTTGATAGTCCTAGAGGGAGGGAAAAAAGAGAGAAATGAACGAACTGTAAAACCTATATTCTGTGATTTCAAGAGCATATTTTGCTGAAATTTTAAAATATGTTACCCTCCAAAATGTAAACAGACCCCCCTGTGGTTGCAACCTACAACTACTCCACGGTCTAAGTTACTATGATCTGTTCATATGATAATCCCTAGATTATATATTATAGTTAAAAAAAAGCTGCATTTACTTACATTATATCCTGCATGTGCTTCAGTTTGATCCAAACGGAAGGCAATGCTTAACAATGGAGGGCTATAGAGAAATTGGGCGGATAGTTCATGGTCTTGCGACAAAGCACAGTGATGGACGCCTTCTCATTGTCCAGGAAGGTGGATATCATGTCACATATTCAGCATATTGTTTACATGCAACACTTGAAGGTGTTTTAAACCTACCATTGCCTCTGCTACTAGATCCTATTGCTTATTACCCAGAGGACGAGACATTTCCTATCAAAGTTGTAGAAGCCATTAAACAATTTCAAAAAGATAAAGTGCCCTTGTGGAGAACAGCTTAACTTTTTGACATACTTCCTCCAAAACATTATGTCAATGTTTGAACCTTCAATAGTTATAGAAAATGAGCTTAGATACTGAGTCAAAGTGTTTAAAATATATCTTTTAATTAAGAACAGCTTGTTAGGTTTTTGTAATTGTATTGTATTTGTATGTGTATATATAGATAGAGACTTTTAATTTTTGTTCTTATTATTATTATCATTATTATTTTGGCATATAAAAATTCAGGGAAAAGTTCACCAATACCCCTGTGGTTTGCTTCAGAATCATTAATGTCCCTGTGGTTTTTTTCTATCACATATGCCCCTGTACTTTGTAAAAAATAAAAAATCACAGGGGCATATGTGATAAAAAAACATACCATTTTGCAAACCACAGGGGCATATGTGATAGAAAAAAAATCACAGGGGCGTAAGTGATTCTGAAGCAAACCACAAGGGCATTGGTTAATTTTTCTCAAAAATTTAAGAAGTGGATAGTTTGCTCCGAGCCAATTGTATGTCACGCACTAGCTAATTTTTAAAAATGATATAGATTTTCTTTAAAAATTATGAAACAGTCTTAGTATTGGTTGAGTTTTTAAAAATAATACAATTTTAATGGTTGACTTTTATCCAATAGGTCTTTTGACACTGGCTTAATTTTTTTTTTTTTTTTTTGGCTCTGCCATTGTTTTGCTCCAGATTCAAACCAAGGCATAACTAACCGCAATTAGTGGATGCTTATTACTAGCACTAATTGAGTCCATACTTTAACATTGATGCAGTTAGATCTTACTAATGTACCAACCCTCATCGGTTCGTTGGAGGCACCATGGAAAAGGTGTAAACAAACATTGTCGGTGGTTTTGCACGCCAATGTAGTATGAGTATACCTAGCATGCTTTGATATGGCATGAGTAATTTGCTTTTACAAGACATTTTCAAGTGATTAATTAGATAGGCAATTCAAGTGACTAATTAGATATTTTCAAATAAGTTAAGCTTGGAAAATTGAGCCGAAAAGGTGCCGCCGACTGTGGAGTGAAAATTGGAGGAGGAATCTGTGTGGTGGACATACAACTTCTGTTTTTCACCCTTATTCTCCACTCAACTCACTTTTTCTCTCTTTGGGGCCTATGGTAAGGTAGGGGAGGAAAAGGGTGTGACTATCTCTTTGACTCTTTTGATGCTGGTCACTACATAGGAAACTTGGTCAAAAGAAGAAAGTTCGATTCATAAATCTAACACTAAAGAAAGAGCCAAGCGATTTGTTTTTCTTCTAAAGGCCTTATTTATATTCACGACGAGCACAATACAAATTTCAACGCAAGTGATTGATTGAGTCTACTTAAGAATTTCTCTAGTTGCAACAGTCAACATTGTCATTTTGACAAGCCCTTCGTTTCCGTTTTTTTCCGTTGGTGTTTTTCTATCTACATCTTAGATTTTGGTAAGTTAAAAAGAATAATATAACTTTGGATTCTGACAACTTGCAAGTATCAACGACTGTCCCACACATTAACATAAGACTTGTCAGCCTGCTTTGTCACTCATATCAGAATTGTTCCAAGTCAAGCACGTTTAATTATGGAATTCTTCCGTTATGAACTACCAAAAAGTAGATGCATCTTGTTAGTATAGGTAGTACCAATTAATTCTTATAAGTTATTCTCAACTGTACCGTCCCATACCAGCACAGTATCTGGAATCCCTCTCTTTTGGGTGTTGATTCGATTCATTCATGCATCCCCGTTGCTAGAAGCCTGCCAGGAGCCGCTCCTTGTTCTTGCCCTTTCGCACCAACAATCACTCCCCGTCCTCGTCAGCATCCGCGATGTTACATTGTGAATCCTTCTACTTGCTTAAATCTTTACTATGTTAGTGCTAAACCTGTCACTCGGGTCATATACTATTTGGGTACATTAGGCCATTGTCGGATGCTGTACCAACATAGAAAATTTCCATAACCCAACCATCACAATTTCGATTGTGTTATACCCCATCATTACATCAAATCTTCCTATAACTAGGAACAGGATTAAACTAACTACGGTTAGTTCTGGATGCAGCGAAGTTGCCCATTCTCATGGTATTTTTAGGTTAATTACTATGGAATAATGCTTTCTTAGTATAACAAGCCTAAAACTAAAGTAATATGCCTAAAGTTACTTAGGATGCTAAACAAAAGTAATATGCCTCAGGAATAGTAAATTTAAAGTCTAGAGAATATATGTCTGAACTGTGAAGTAAACTCTCTATATTATAAAATTCTAAATATCTTTGGTAATTAAAAACTCCAACTTCCAATTAAATTGCAATATCTTGTACTGGTTAGGCACAAAACTTCTCTTCCATCTTCCACCTTATTTCTTTGCAGAATCAATTTCTGTAAGTTCATGCATGTGACGGTCTTTATTCTAATTTCTAAGGAGATATACTACAATAAAAGCTAATAGTCTCCGAACTGTGAAAAACCAACAAAGTACAATTTTATTGGGAAAAAAAATTCTAAAGAACAAAAAAAAAAAAACTAAAAAAAATTCTAAAGAACAAAAAAAAAAAAACTAGCTTTTGAGCAATTATCAAAGCCACAAACTGCGGAGCCAAACTTACTGTGCTGTGTTGCTTATATAGATGCTGACCATAAAAAATCACAAGCAAAATCAATGTGGACCCACTTCATTCCTATGTGGAACACTGTCATCCACATGTTAATCCCAACAATTGGGACAAAATTATTGTTAGCTCTTTCTTTCCTTCTTTCTCTTACACCAGATTTTAACTACAAATCATGGCCAATAAAGGGTGATAGGAAAAAAATAAAAAAAAAATAAAGAAAGAAAAAGACACTGAAGGCAAGGTCTGTTCAGGGTTCATTCTTTCTCTAGTGAAGAGAAAAATAAAATGTAGAAGTTGAAGATATTCCACAATCCACTCCTTGTCCTCATCTCAATTTTGGAACTTCATTTCTACCTCCGAAGCATTGAATATTTTCTCAATAAAAGTATCTTTCTTTATGGCTAGCTCTTGGTAAGGGTAACTAACAAGCTCTCACATTCACACTCACTCACTCACACTATGTTCTGTGTTTTTTAGCTATCTTCTGAGTTTCTCTCTCTGGGTCTTGTAGCTAGTGTCTCGTTTTGGCCATGGAAGTCAGATATTGATCTTTCTCTCTCACATTCACACTCTCACTCTTATTAGGTGGGAAAGTTCCTTCCTTGATTACTGTTTGGCACTTTTTTCTCCTAGGTTAACCATGGAAGGTATCCAGATAGAAGTCTGCATCTTTCTCTTTTTTGGTCTCATTATTACAATGGCTCATGGTTCTACAAACCCAAATGATCTCAAAGTTATGAATGATTTCAGAAAAGGGTTGGAGAATCCAGAGCTTCTGAAATGGCCTGAGAATGGAGATGATCCCTGTGGCCCTCCTTCATGGCCTTATGTGTCCTGCTCTGGAGATAGAGTCAATCAGATTCAGGCTAAGAATCTGGGTCTTAAAGGATCATTACCTCAAAATTTCAACCAACTCTCAGAACTCTACAATTTGGGTCTTCAACGCAACAATCTTAGTGGGATGTTACCTACTTTTAGTGGATTATCCAAATTGGAATTTGCTTTCTTGGATTACAATGCATTTGATGCAATCCCATCTGATTTCTTTGATGGACTCAGCAGCATTCGTGTCCTGTCTTTGGAAGAAAATCCACTGAATGCTAGTAATGGGTGGTCATTTCCTGTGGATTTGGAAAAATCAGTGCAATTAACTAATCTTTCTCTGGTACATTGTAATTTAGTTGGACCATTGCCAGATTTTCTAGGCACATTGCCATCCCTCACAAGTCTGAGGCTTTCAGGCAACAGATTGTCTGGTTCCATTCCAGCTACTTTTACTCAATCTTCAATCCAGGTTTTGTGGTTGAATGATCAAGAGGGTGGTGGGTTGTCAGGCCCTATTGATGTTATTGCCTCAATGACTTTCCTAAGACAGCTTTGGTTGCATGGAAACCAGTTCACTGGGACAATTCCACAGAATATAGGAAATCTTACTTCCTTGCAGGAACTCAACCTCAACAGTAATCAACTTGTTGGCTTGATTCCAGAGTCCCTAGCAGATATGGACCTTGAGATACTGGTGTTAAATAATAACAAGCTAATGGGTCCTATACCAGAGTTTGCGGCTGCCAATTTTTCTTATGAGTACAATTTCTTTTGTCAACCTGAGCCTGGGCTTGAATGTGCCCCTCAAGTTACTGCACTGCTGGATTTTCTGGATAATCTGAATTACCCATCATTTCTCATTTCTGATTGGTCAGGTAATAAACCATGCACAGCCAGCCCAGGGCCTTGGTTTGGATTGAACTGCAATTCCAACTCGGAGGTAACTATAATCAATCTACCTAAGCACAAGCTCAATGGTACTCTAAGTCCTTCACTTGTCAAGTTAGATTCACTCCTTGAAATTAGACTTGCAGGAAATAATATAGCTGGTACAGTTCCTAGTGATTTTACTAAATTGAAATCTTTGAGGTTGTTGGATTTAAGTGATAACAATCTTGAGCCTCCATTGCCAAAATTTCATGATGATGTGAAGGTTATTATGGCGGGTAACCCTCTTCTTCCTAATCAAGCTGGAAGTCCTCCCATACCTATTAGCAGCCCACCACATGCAAATTCACCACCTTCACCACTCAACCCATCAAGTCCTCCTTCCTCTCATAAGCCTCATATTCCAAGTCAGAGTTCAAGCTCAAATCAATCCAAACCAAATGGTTTCAAAAGATTCAAAACAGTAGCAATAGTGGCTGGAGTTGCAGTCTTTGCATTTGTAGTTCTTTTGGTTGTTTATTTCTTTGTGTGCTGCTGGAAGAACAAAAAACCCTCCTTAGATGCTCCAAGTTCCATTGTGGTTCACCCTCGAGATCCATCTGATCCAGATAATGTGGTCAAAATTGCAGTTTCAAGCAACACCACTGGAAGCTTATCAGCAAAGACTGGGACAAGTTCTCTGAGTAACATTAGTGGTGAAACTTCAAACTCTCACCTATTTGATGCTGGCAACCTTGTCATCTCTGTACAAGTACTACGCAAGGTTACCAAGGATTTTGCTTCAGAAAATGAGCTAGGCCGTGGTGGGTTTGGAACTGTTTACAAGGGAGAACTAGAAGATGGGACAAAAATAGCAGTGAAGAGAATGGAGCATGGTGCTATTTACAGTAAGGCGCTGGAGGAGTTTGAAGCTGAAATAGCTGTTCTTTCCAAGGTCCGTCACCGACATCTGGTATCCCTCTTGGGGTATTCAATTGAAGGCAATGAAAGACTTTTGGTTTATGAGTATATGCCTCTTGGTGCTCTAAGCCAACATCTTTTTCATTGGAAAAGCTTGAACTTGGAGCCTTTGTCTTGGTCAAAGAGGCTCGCAATAGCACTAGATGTTGCTAGAGGGATAGAATACCTTCATGGTCTTGCCCGCCAGACCTTTATCCATCGAGATCTCAAGTCTTCTAATATTCTACTAGGTGATGATTTTCGGGCAAAAGTTTCGGATTTTGGTTTGGTGAAGCTTGCCCCGGATGGTGAGAAATCTGTAGTAACCAAGCTTGCTGGGACATTTGGATACCTTGCCCCTGAATATGCAGGTATTGCCTTGCTTTAAATCACCTCTTCCTTCTGACCACCAAACAATTGTAGAAATTGAGCATTGACTGCATGGTTTAGTGTAATTATGAACAGAATCACTATGCTCTCTGTGTAGTTAGTTTATATTCAGTTACAATATTCTTAAAATGAAACGTCTTAGTAGTGTGTAAAAGGTCTTTGTTTTAGTGTTTGTTTTTTGAAAAAAGAAAATGTTAACAAGAAAATGACATCTAATTATATGTTCAGTGAGTTCAATGTTTCAGAAATTGTCAGCAACATGATCCTTCCTTGTATCCCTCATCTAATAGTTCAGTTCAGACCATTGCATCATACTTATCTTGCATCTACAATTTTTTTAAGTCTTCTAGTAGTCTTAGTTTGATGCACCTAGCTTAAAATCATATACTATGTTTCTTTGTGTGTTTCAGTGATGGGGAAAATCACCACAAAAGTTGATGTGTTCAGCTATGGTGTGGTGTTAATGGAACTTCTGACTGGACTAATGGCGCTTGATGAGAGCCGGTCAGAGGAAAGCCGGTACTTGGCTGAATGGTTTTGGAGAATTAAATTGAGCAAAGAAAAGCTTATGGCTGCCATTGATCCAGTTTTGGAAGCAACTGAAGAGACTTTTGAGAGTATAACCATTGTAGCTGAACTTGCTGGACATTGCACTGCTAGGGAAGCAAACCATAGGCCAGATATGAGTCATGCAGTCAATGTACTATCAGCATTAGTGGAAAAATGGCGACCAGTTGATGATGAATTAGATTACTACTCTGGCATTGACTACACTCAACCACTTCCCCAAATGTTGAAAATTTGGAAGGAAGCAGAAAGCAAAGAGTTTAGCTATACTGCTAGTCTTGAAGATAGCAAAGGCAGTATTGCAGCTAGGCCTATTGGGTTTGCTAACTCCTTTACCTCTGCTGATGCTCGATGATTTAGAAGTAACTTCAGTGCAATTTGTGCGTCCTGTTGCTATGTCCTTAATAAAATTCACTTGGATTCACCATGTCTGTTTCGGCAGCTAAAAGGCATAAATCATTTGTTTCTGGTCTTTGTGTTGTTTTTGGACATTAACATACTTCAAAGTACCATACGAAGATGTAGATAAATATTATTTTGGTCTTTCTGTTGTTTCTGCTGCTAAAACGCATATTATTTTTTGATGGGGTCTCGTGGCACAAGGATGGTATTGTTGCCATTTGTCCTAGGTTGTCATATATTCAAATCATGTAATCAAGGGTAAAACCGCCTCCCAGATAACAGAGTGGGAACATTTTAGTACCAGGTTACCCTTTTTTTAGTAATGAGTCTGTGCGACAAAAAAACTATAGCTTGCACATTCATAAAAAATACTATATCCTTTTCTTGTGGTATCCATGTCATGCGAGTTTTGATTATTGTATTGAAATGCTTAGCAATAAGCCAATAACATAGCTTGCATATTACAAATGTAATACCAAAACGAAGAGTTACCTGAATTATTTTCTACCTACATGAATAAATAAAATCTGATAGAAATAGTTCAATTCCTGGTTAGAAAGAACGAAACGTAAAAGGAAATAGAAATAAGTATTGAGATTCTCAGTAACCTTGATCCGACAAATTTTCTTACAAATAAAATAAAAACAACTAATACGATTTGTGCTAGTTGGCACTAAGCGTTATTCAAAATATAAATTAATTAAAATATTTTCCTTCTCTGATTATCCCTTGTTCTGTTCTCCTTATTTATCCTCACAAAAAAAGAAGCGCAATCCTAAAGAGGGGACATTGATTTTTGAGAAGAATGATCCTTCCTGCATGCACTGCTACCCCAATACAACATGTTCAGCCTACAAAACCAGCTTCACCAATTCCACTCCCAAATCAATCTCATTCTACCTTTTCTCCCACAAACCCCAACAAGAACCAAAGCCTCTCCCTAAAACACAACACCAAATACATCGACCCCACCATAGCATGGACATCCTCCATAGCTCAACACTGCCGAAGTGGTCGAAGTGGCCACTTGGTTGAAGCTGCTTCTGAGTTCGTGCGCATGAGAGAGGCTGGGGTTGAACCCAATCACATCACTCTTATCACGCTTCTCTCTGCTTGCGCTCACTGTCGCTCACCCATTAGTATCTCCTTTGGAGCTGCCATACATGCACACGCTCGCAAATTGGGCTTGGACATGAACGATGTCATGTTGGGCACTGCACTGATTGACATGTACGCTAAATGCGGTCGTGTTGATTCAGCTAGGCTTGTGTTCGATCAAATGGGTTTCAGAAATTTGGTGTCTTGGAACACGATGATTGATGGGTATATGAAGAATGGGGAAATTGAAGATGCCCTCCACCTGTTTGATGAATTGCCCGTGAAGAATGTTATTTCATGGACTGCGCTTATTGATGGGTTTGTGAAGAAAGATTGTCATGAAGAAGCCTTGGATTGCTTTCGAGAAATGCAGCTGGCTGGTGTGGCCCCTGATTATGTAACTGTTATTGCTGTTCTTGCTGCGTGTGCCAACTTGGGTGCACTCGGTCATGGCTTGTGGGTACATCGACTTGTGATGACAAAAGATTTCAGGGACAATGATAGAGTTTCCAACACGTTGATAGACATGTATTCTCGATGTGGATGCATAGAGCTTGCTCGTCAAGTGTTTGACAGAATGCCCCGGCGAACCATGGTATCGTGGAACTCGATCATTCTGGGTTTTGCTGTTAATGGGCAAGCAGATGAGGCTGTGAGTTTTTTCAATTCAATGAAGAAGGAAGGGTTCGAGCCAAATTCAGTGAGCTACACAGTTGCGCTCTCGGCTTGCAGTCACGCTGGATTAATTGATGAGGGACTCAGAATTTTTTATAACATGAAGAGAGTTAGTAGAATTGCCCCTAGAATTGAACATTATGGTTGCCTAGTGGATCTCTATAGTAGAGCTGGGAGGTTGGAGGAGGCATTGCATGTGATCAAGAATATGCCCATGAAGCCAAATGAAGTGGTGTTGGGGTCATTGCTTGCTGCTTGTAGGACTCAAGGGGACGTTGAGTTAGCTGAAAACGTGATGAAATATCTTGTTGAATTAGACCCTGAGGGACATTTCAATTATGTGCTTCTTTCTAACACATATGTAGCTGTTGGAAATTGGGATGGTGCGAGCAAGGTTAGGAGGGCAATGAAGGACCGTGGTATACATAAGAACCCTGGCTTTAGTTCCATTGAGATTGATTCCAGCATTCACAAATTTGTGGCTGGTGATAAATCTCATGAGGAGAATGACTATATTTACGCAGCGCTGGATTTTCTGTCTTTTGATCTGCAATTATGTGGATATGTTCCCGATTTCTCTGGAAAAGAATCTTACGAAGACGATTGATTTTTGTAATTGAGTTCAAGAAAGTGATTGATTATAAAAATGTGCTCTTTTTATAAGCTTACCAATAAAAAAAAATTGCAAACTAAATTGTTTATATGCTATGTGGCAAATTTGGAAGACATGGTCAATTGGTTATTGCGTCTCAGATTAAATACCCAAAATATAAAGATATTAAAGAATGAAGACATAAAGTATGACCCTGCATGATAAGTGAATGTGCTTAACCTTTCTGCCGGATGCTTTGTCTCATAATATGAGCAAATACCATGAAGAATAAGTTCAAATTGACGATGCAACATTCAGTTACTTCCCATAAAACATCTCTGCAAATCTCTCAGCCACCTCAACCTTCCCATGAATTTTACAGGCCCCCAACAAGGCACCTCGCAAAGTTTCATCGGGCTCAAACTCCATTCTCAAAATTAACATCTCTGCTTCCTCAACTAGGCCAACCCTCCCCAACATGTCCACCATACATGTATAATGTTGCACCCCAGGTTTCACCCCAAACCTCACCTCCATCAGCTCAAAATATTCCCTTCCCTTTTCTATAAAACCCCCATGACTACATGCTGTCAAAACTGCAGTAAAAGTCACACCATCTGGCCTAACTCCAGCCTCCACCATTCTATCAAACAGTTCAAAAACCTCTCCAAACTTGCCATGCATTCCATAACCCGCGATCATCGTTGACCAAGTAACCTCATTCTTTTGCCGCATTCCATCAAACACTTTGCGTGCACAAGTTAAATGGCCGCACTTGGCATACATGTTTATCAAAGCATTCGAATTCGCCAAATCTAATGCAAACCCATTAACCAGAACAGCTCCATGGACTTGTTGACCAAGCCGTAGAGCCAGTAACCCAGCGCAAGATTTGAGCACAACGGGTAAGGTATGGCGATCGAAGGGTTTATAGGCAAGAAGCATTTGGCGGAAGAGGGAGAGGGACTGGGAGAACAAGTTGAGAGAGGAATAGGCTCTGATGAGGGAGTTGAAGAGAAAAGTGGGTCGGCGATTGGTGAAGGAGAAGAGTATATTGGCTTGGTGCAATTGGGCACATGAAGTATAGGAAAATACAAGCTTGCTTCGAATGAAGTCATGACTTGAAATGCCTAGGGTAATGGTGCAAGCGTGGATTCGTTTGAGATTCTTCAAGTGCTTTGAGGAAGAGCAAGTGTCAAGAAGAGTGGCATAGAAGGGTATGAGTTGCTCATGTTTAGCCATTACCTTAACCCAAAAAATACAAAACCAAAGTCATATCTTATGCACAACAGTGACTAATTTCTGTTCTGTAATTTCATTTGGAAGCTTTATATAAATAAGAAAAAGGAAATTACTTTTCTTATGTTGGATAATAGAAGTACTATTTCCTACACTCATATTTTTTAAATAGGTTCCACAAAAAATAATTTCTCTCACCTCCAACTTTTTTCTTTTTCTTATTTATTATTTTAGTAAAAGATAATATTTCTCTTATACAACATAAGAATAGTATTACTCTAAGAAAAAAATGTGAGTGTCATGTTACGTTACATATTTTATGTCATGTTATAGACACAACAAAATGATATCCATATTTTTTTATTTTTTTTAATGAAACCCGTATATTTTTATGTCTAGGGCATGACATAGAATGTGTCTTGTAACATGATACTTATATTTTTCTATAAAGAAAGAAATTTATGTTTCTAGTATTTACACATACATAAAAATATATAAATCTATCTCAAAGATAAAATTATCTACTATATGACATAAGAAATATTGATCCTATAAAAAAAACTTGATTAATAATATTTAGCATACAGAGAGAAAATGAAATCCTTAAAAATATCCTCTTTTGTCAACATGGGCAGAGAGAATATTTTGCCAAATTTGCTTATGGGTTAGTATTTGTTCTCATTGGTGGGTTTGTTATATTGGACAAGCTATTGGCGTATTTTTTTAGAAAGGAAATGATTCACTTGCGTCACCCTAGTGACATTGCTGTCACATCCTACTTATATCGTCAGCATGAGCATACATTTGAGAATAACAGCTCCAGGTTAGTTATTACAAAGATGGATATCTGCAGGTACATATTTTTGTAGATTTCGGGTGAAAGGAGACAAAACACATCATGTCACTATTGTTTCTGTCCAACCATGAATTAGCTGTATTTCATGATAAGGGATTTTTTCGTCTAATATAAAAAAAAGTTCTCTTATGTCAAGAGATAAATAAAATGAATCCTACCAAATAAAAAAAAACACATTTTTTGAAGTGAGAGTAGTATGATTTCCCTTCGTGAAAAAAGCCAAAAGATAAATTAATAGCATTCACTTGATTTCCTTTACTTTTTTACTACTTTACTAATTCAGTATCGTCATATTTCAGTGCTTTTTAGCTTACTTCACTTAAATTTGCTTTTGCTTAACAAGATTTGGTTCGATTCATCGGCTGAGGACCTTGCCTTGGGATATATCATGATAATCAAAATTTACTACATGCCCTTAAACACTGCTTAATCAACATATAAAAAGAAGAACGGAAACAAGCTGACATATATTCTAATAGACATATATCCTAATACAAGTCACAACTGAAGTACTACACATAGACTGCTAACTATGAAGTAGATGTTTACACTGATAACAAAACCTAGGCCAAGAACACACAAGTGATTTCCTTTAGGAAGTTTAAGGGGTTTCAGGCTTTTTGGGGCTGCCACCGTTATGATGCAGGGGGTCTGGACCAGAAGGAACCTTCCTCAACTCCCAACTCGGTGCCTTTTCATCATGTTTGATGCTTGAGGATCCTTGTAGCCTAACCTTCAAAGTAGTTTGCTTATCTTTCAAGGTAGACAACACCTGCACAAGCAGAGTGTTATAGTAATGTAGAATATCCCAGACCAAAAACAAAAAAAAAATATCTTAAAAAAAAAAGAAAAATCTTACTCATGTTATGATCCTATAAAAACTTAAGGTAAGAAAAAAAATCCCTGGTTTCTTTGAATATGTTATGTGTATGCTAGAAGTCAATAATACAGTAACTGACCTTCCTATTCCGAATCTCCTTGAGACCAGCTACATTAGTTCTAAAGCCTGCATAAGCAGAACTATAGTCTGCCAGTAAACAAACATTTCATCAATGCTTAGACTCTAGCTACTAACATGAATGAAATAATACACAGTTTAACTCATGAAGTTCATGAAATAGTGACAGAATGAAGAAAAGAACCCAAACAAACCAGAAGTCTCCCTCATAAAATGCAAGCACAAAAGCACCAGCAAAATGACAGTGGTAAGGATGAGTTTTGATGCCATTGGAGAAAAGTTTAAACTTTGGCTAGCACAGGGTACCAAGTTTTGCATGCAAGTGGAGAAAGCAAGGAAGAGAACAAGTGTTCTACGAGGTGAAGAAGAGTGTCATAATCCACAAATTTATAGTGCTTTGATTCAAGGATTTGAATGATGGCTCATGCAGCCATTTTCTAAAGAAATGATTAAAGACATCTATGCGTAACATTTAAGGGAGTATTGTGTGATATGTTGTAATAGATAATTTTATTTCCTACACATATAAAAATATGTAGGACTTATATTTTCTTTTTTTTTCTCTTTCATTTTCACATGATTTCATAGACCATATTTTTATGTGTATATAATAGATAAAATTATCTCCTGCGATATAAGAAATATTAATCCCAACATTTAATTATTGCAAAATCTCTATTTAGCTCTGCTCTCTCTCTCTGCGTGTGACAGCGCCGTCTTATGTGGTTGTCGAGCCACCTGAAAATCACCTGGCAGGGGCCAATGCAAATCACTATCCTAGATATATGATGTCAAAACTGAAAAAAGCAAAATGAACCAACGTCATGTTTCCTTCTAAGTCTGCAATTCTTTTCGGGACGTGGCTCTCCCATATCTAATTCTCTCTGCTTCACTATCTGTTTACATGCACAACTTTTTTTTTTTTTTTTCTTTCTTTCTTTGGGTTGTTCAAGAGAAAAAATTTTCATACGAGAATCACGATTTTTAAGAATATGACGAGAAGATAAATTTTTTGGAAATAATACTAAAAAGTTATTTGATAGACTAAAATATTTCCGAAAATACTGAGTTAATTTTCTTGATGCTATGTTTAATTGTATTAAATTTTTCTTTGCCATAAAAATCTTATAATACCACCCTTGGATGGTATTCCTAGATGGTATTTTCAAAAAAAAGTTACACATAAACTAAAATCCTGAGAAAATCAGATTTCTGAGATAATTTTAAAAGACTTGTACCAAACGTGGATAAATACAATTACCACTTTTAGTTTCCTGAGAATCCTAAAATAAATCTTGTAACAAACGCCCCCTTGGAGTAATCATATTTGCACACTTTTATATTACATGATTAAAATCTATTTACAAAACATTTAAAAAGTATATACAAAATGGCAAAAACAAAACATGCTTATAAGTGTTAAGGGATATATTTTTCTTATGTCGTAGGAAAAAAGTTACTTCACATTGTAGAAATAAAAGTATAAGTGGGACCCACAAGTAAGAGGAGAGAGAGAAAAGAGTGGTGGGACTCAACTTTTTTTGTGTGTAGGAAAGTTGTTTATCTCATTAAAATGAGATAAACATAACCCATAAGTTAAGGGGTTTAGTTTTCTTCTTTTATAGAAGAGAACTACTCTCATGCAGCTGACACAAGAGAATAAGTGAGAGAAAAATCTAAGATGAGAGAAAAAAAATCTAAGGTGAAACTCATTTATGATTGTATATATAGAAATGGATCATTTTCTTCAATAGCATGAGAAAATGATTCCCGGTAAGTTAAATTCAACTGGCCTATATCATTAAACAGAATTAATGTAAAACAAATGTTATCCATATACTCATGTAAAATGTGTAAGAAATTCAACTTACGTTATTTTTGTACTATAAAATCCATATTTGTCTCTGCCATTGGATCAACTGTACAATACACAAAAATCTAATATTTCATGTAAAGATTAATGACTTATGCACATTCTTTAACGCACAAGGAAGCATATCTCCTTTGTTATTGAATCACTATATACCATGATAGTTGCCTATTTCACCACAATTACGTGAGAAAAGAAATATTTTATTGCATTGAATCAAAATTTAAACATTTTATCAAAATAATATGATGACATGCATATAAGAAATGTATACATTCAAATCGTGCATAAAATAATGGAAAATGCACCTATCATGTTGTAGGAATCAAATATTTTATCATGTGAAGAAAAAGACAACTAATTCATTGAATAAAGTGTTCCATTATTTTTTTTAATATTATATATATCATGTCTTTTTCTTAAAATGATAACACAATTGGTTCCTACAACATGAGAAATATAATCCCCTAAAATAATATGTGCCTTGTACGTGTCGCGTGTTACAAGATGTGCATGGGACGATATGTGATTTGCAGTATGCAAACTCATATTTTATGTTTATACGAGTTACATATATCTTATATACATTTCACTATATTATTTTAATAAAATATTTAAATTTTGAATCAACTAAATAAGAATGCTTAGTTTAATACTGTAATTAAACTTAACTATTGAAACTAAGTTATATATTTTTGGGTTGTCCGATGTGAAATCACTTTTTCCTTAATTAGCCACTTATACTTAACTAATTGGTACGAAGAATGAATATTTAAATAAAAATCATAAATAATAACAAGTGTTTTCATTGTATATTTTTAAGTGTGTGGTTAGACTTTTGTCTCGTTACTGGCTTACTGCTACTTGTACTAGTAGTTTAAGGTAAAAGTAGTCATAATTGGTTGTACCATTGGGAGTAAGGTGACTAGGTGGAAACAGGGTGGCAATGGAACATTTCTTTTTTGGTTTTGAATTTGCTGTCTCTATCAATGATAACATGAAGTCATGCAGAGGAGAAATAAATTTGAAAAGATGAAATGACTGATTGATGGGGTTCTGGGTATCTTTTGCTCTGAAGTGAGATTTTCGTCGGGCTGAAGATGCATTTGCAGTAAAAACACATTTTTAAGATAGACATTTTCCCTTTCTTTGCACGAGAGAAAAGAAAATGGGAGTTAATTTTTTTTTCCTTTTTCGTTTTTAAGAATTTTAGGAGAGATGATAGGGGTTAGATTAACGGCAGGTCATGGCTTTAGTAAGTAATACGGTCGTATTGAGAATCGAGTAGCACGGAGGTTTAAAATAAAATTATAAATTATATATTTTGAGAATTATATAATTATAATATTAAAATTATTTTTTTTATTCTTTCTCTTCAAGAAATATATCAATTGGGGAGGGGGCTGAACCTTTAGACATCACTGTTCCCCCGCACTCCGGATTAGTCCCATAGCCGGATCAAAGAGTCAAAGTTCGTGGGGATACCGGAGGGAGCCAACTCGTCTCAAAAAGATAATTAAGGTTGGGTAATTCCAAAAAGAAATATATCAATTGACGTGTTATGTTCCTATTGATGAATTATACCTTTGATGGTAATACTATAGATTTTTTTTCCTTTTATAGGTGTTTTCCCAATAACCTATTTAGGATAAGAGAAAACCTACAATGCTCTTGCTGTAGATGCATCTTTACCATAAGGAGAAAATTTTTGGATATAGAGGGAATTATAAAAAAAGTTGCGTTAAAGTAAAAAAAAAAATTTCTTTTTAAATAAAAAGAAATATCGAACTCGATGCTCCCGATGTATATAAGAAATTTTCCTTGGATAAAATCCTAAATTGGTAACTATAGCTATGCATTTGTGACAAGAGAAGGATCGAACGTTGAGTTAATTTGATAAAATGATAATAATAATAAGGGTTCATTTTTTCTGCACTTACTGCAGATAAGTTATCTGCAGTAAGCCTAATACGACATCATTTTGGGGCGGAAATCATGATATTTTTGTAATTTTAATTTATTTCAAGATTATAATAGTCTTTATATTTATAATTTTTTAAGATTTTAATATCAAAACGACGTCTTTTTGGAAATAAATGCAGATAACTTATCTGCATTAACTGCAGAAACATTTTTCCCTAATAATAATCGAAAAATACTTCTCTTATGTTATAGAAAACACTAATCTCCTGTCATAGAAACATCAAAATATGTGCCATCATTTTCTTTTTTTTCTTTTTTTTTAAATCCATTGGTCCAAAATTTCTTGTTTCAGCTAGAAAATTTTATTCTCTTATGTTGAATAAGAGAAATATTCCCCATAATAATAACTATTAAAATAAAGAAGATATTCTTTTTTAGATTAAGATATTTTTCATTTTTCATTTGTTATCTGCCTTTATTTTTGTCTTTACCTTTTTTTATTAAATATCCCTTTTTGTTTTTGCTTCTTTTTTTTAACTCAGTAGATATTCCATTAAATCATCTTCATCTACTTGTTCTCATAGTACAACCCTATAGCTAACTTTTTATTGAAATAAAGAGTGCATTAAACTAGTTAGAGGCATGGTGAAATTAATTTCATAGCTATTTTCCGTTTTGATTAGTATTTAAAAACACCTTTAGATAAAAAAGTAATAATAATAACATTTTGATATTTTTAAAAGTAAAAAATATGGGCTTCCCAAAAAATGACATTCTTTTAACTTTTCAAAGATTGTACATAGACATACCAAAATAAATAAATAAATAAAAGTACTTTTATTTTAGAAAAGATAGCCTCTTGGAGAGAAAAAAATCCAACAAGAACAAATACACTTTTTTTTTTCAAATAAGGGAAACTAATCACACAAACAACTTTAAAAAACAAAAGAAGAAAATGCTCAACTGCTTTAATGGTAACTCTTCAGTCCCACTTCCAACTCTCATGTCACATAAAAGGTTACATATTATTGGGTTTTCCCTCCTTAAATGTTACCAAGGCCCAATGTCTTTGTGAGGCTCAAGAAACTTAGGACTCAAGAAACCTTAATCTTCACTTTTGATATTCTAGAATTTTTCCTCCTCTCCTATATAAGCTTGTGTTACATGCGAGGTTAGAGTTAGAAATTTTGAAATAATTTTGAGAGCACCTCTAAGGAAAAGCTTGATTATTAGACCTCCTTAGAGAAATTTAAGAGAATATCATCATTGTAGGTGAGGTTTTAGCGTACCACCATTATTGGTAAAGTTAGATATTTTGTACCCATTATTTTCATAATGGAAGTTTGATTCTGAACTAGTATCCCGCGGGTTTTTACTTTTTCACATTGAAGAAAAAAATTTCACGTTAAAATATGCTTGTGTTCATCTTTCTCTCTCTCTCTATCTCTCCTTTCTATATTTCAGTTTCTGCCGCGTA